CAGAGGATTGCGGAGGTGGAATGCACCGAATGCGATGGTTTTACAGACTGCTTTGGGATGGTGGAAACGTCGCTTATCATGACTACATGAAGACCGTGCTGACCAAGGAGGAGATCGAATCAATGATCAATCCAACTGCAACAGCTGAGTATGTCGGCGACATTTTCGAATTCTGGCTTGGAATGCTTGACCTGGGTATTCAATTTCCTACTATGTTCGCTGGATGGGGGGCAAACCTTGACAATTGCCTCGCAGGACTGGAAGAATCGTTCTGGCTATTCAGCAGTTCATGTCGACCTACCGACACCATCAACACAAAGAGGAACCGATCCAGGAAAGCATACATTCCACCGGTCGAGAATGACATGGTGATTACAATCCTGAAAGAAGCGGGAATTTTTGACCTACTCATGCAGAAGAAGATCACCAGAATGCCAGTGCTCCCAAAAGCCAACTACGATGACCACCCTGAGATGATTGAAGTCTCATCAAGCGATGAAGAGGTGGATGAAGTTAATGAACCTGATGAGGAGACCACGACGCCTACGGCGCGGGGCCCTCGAGCAGAACAAACTTCAGGAGAAACCGATGCTGGAGCTGGTGACATCGAGATTGAGGAGGAGGAAGATGACGTGGGGGGACAACCTTCAGAAGCGAAGAAGCGCCGAACTGAGGTGCGTGACATCCGTGATCGATTTGAGAAGTTGATTTCAGATGCCTTGGATGTTCAATATTGTTTCATTTGTGGTGGAAGACATGGCATTGATGAATGCACTACACCAGATGATGAGAACATGAGGGACACCATTTGGCGCATGAGGTTGATCATGGATCAGAAGTCCAAATCCCCACCATCGTCCGAAAGATCCAAAGCTGCGACCAGAGGCAGGAAAGACAAGCTCCCAAAGAACGTCATGCCACGAGGAAAGCGTTGGGGAAGAACCAGATTCACTGAGAAAGAGGAAGTGACCAAGTGCTTCTACAGTCAGTCAGCCTTTATGTACGATATTGGTGATCGTGAAGAAGGAGGACAATACTTAGTGAATGGTGTCGAGGTCAACCCAATTAGCCGAGGTGTGAAGAATCGTCATGAGCTTGACATGCTGATTGAACGTGCAGCTGAGGAGTCCCCGCCTGTTTTGCCGACCATTGAAGAGCTGAATGCTTTGAAACATATTGATCATGATGTCTACATGAAATGGCTTACTGAGGAAAGAAAACAACATGGAAACAACTGGAACTTCAAGTACATCCAACCATTCACACATGGTCACAATATTGGTACACTTCAACTTGCCCGCATCAATGGAGAAGAATACCTTGGAATGGGCTGGTGGAAGGTGCATCGATACAGCGAGAATGAGTGGATGGGCAACAAGTGGGAAAATCCGCCATGGATGGTTGAACTGTCGAAAAGGTTCAATGCTGCGCTACGCCACTCCGTGGGTTGCGTCAGAGACAATCGAAATCACCGTGGACTTCCATGCGATGAGGCGGGTTGGGTCAATGTTGAGTCGATCTTGAAGTACGATGCTATTTGGAGAGACCAACACACATTGGCTGGAACGACACACGTCAACTACCCGATACTTGTTGAGAGGTGGAACAATTTCCAGAGAGTGATTTTCACCGAGTACAAGCAAACGAAGAGAATCCGAGCTCAAGTGCTAGGACTCAAAGTCACAAAGGCTGAGTTGGAATACCTCTTGAACAATTTTGATGATGGATTGACCTCAAGACTTGATCGACAAACACTGAGGTTGGAGATCGGCACAGCAGATCGAGAGATTTGGCTTTGGCCAGTGGCAATCCGAGCTCCTATGGCACATTCAAGAGTTCAAGGCGGTGTACAAATCGAAGACAAGAAGACTTCCTATCAGATGAACCCTGGAGTAGGATACACTCTTGGAGGAGGATTTCACTGCACCACATTTGACAACATCGCCCAAATCTTCAGAGAAGGACTACGTCCCGGAGGAGGAGGCGACCGCATCAATACGTTCTTCGTGCCATTCGCGCCGTGGGATGTTAGAAGTCAGATGGTGCTGAGATTCAAGAAAATTGATCAAACTGATCTTGTCTACATCTACATCACATACGATTCCATCGCCAAGTTCTCCCCCAGATTGTCAGCAGACGGACACATTTTGGTCCAAGAAACAATTCCATTCGAATCATTCGATGCAGTTTGGTATTATGATTGGAAAGAAAAGGACTATTACCGTCTCATGATCACAAAGGGAAGAGATCAACTTGTTCTTTCTGTGCAAGGAGCAAAGAGAGTGGCCACCATTGAACGATTTGACAAGCTCATTGGAAACATTGTGCCTGAAGAATCATCACCCGATCTTGACGAACTTCGAAAACTTGTCGATATCAGGACAGGCCACTTCAGTCATACTCACAGATTGTTCCCTGGACATCCGGATTGGAATGATGCAATTTCATTATTGGCAGTCACCCATCATCCTAGCAAAGAGGACCATCGACTATGCCCCGCATGTCTGTTGGAAACCCCTGCGCCTTTGTCAATTTGTGTGATGTGCAAAGGATTTTTGGTGAGTCATGGATGGAGGAAGCGAATCAAAATCACCGTGGCGACAGTACCAAAAGCCGAATCACATCATCGAGAAGAAGATCTCAAAGACCATGTCAAGAAAGCATGGGAAGAGGTGAAGATCGATTTGACAGGTGATGATGATAATGATGAGACAATGCCAGGTGATGATGACGTCACCATGAAGAGTCCAGAGCAGGAACCTCAACCAGAAGAAGAAAATGATGACCAAGCCTCGAAGAAGGGCGACATCAATGACGAGAAAAGAGACTTCAGAGAGCAAGATGAGGTCGACGAATTTCTCAATCAAGAGGGAAAACCGACCGACGAGAATGATGTTGAAGAAACAGCGGTCGATGAGATCAACATTGAAGAGTACGAGGCTGGAGAAGCTCGTGATGCAGAGATTGAGTACCCCAAGTGGATGCAGCGAATTGAGTTTGGATCAAAGGTCCTGCCAATCGAGCCTTGCACAATTGGAGATGCTCAACCAGAATTCATCAAGATCCTCCTGTTGCAGATGGGACTACATATCGTCAGGATCTACAGACTATTCCAACGGAACTTCTGTGGAGACATTGGGACGGCATGGAAACATTTTCAACAGAACCAGAAATTTAGGATGGACCTGGACTCAAGGACACCTTACCTGGGCGAGGATGAAAATGGTGAACTCATTGAACCAACTGCACAACAGATGAAAGAGCTCTACAAAGAGATCGGCCGACCAAATCAAAAGGACGACATCGGAGAAGAGGGATTCGTCAATGCTTATTACGGAGCAGTAGTGCTCAAGCGACTTCTCGTATATACCCTTGAATGTGGCTACACGTATGATGACTTGCAGAACATCTTCTTTGATGAGGAGATGGAGAAGCTGTCGAAACGTGACACAACAATGGACGAGATGAGGAAGACCACAGCGGCCCGCGACGCCCTTGACCGACAAGACGTCTTGGTCAGAAGAATCATTGCAGGTGCATATAGGGTAAATGCTGTTTATTTCTTCAGGAACGTCGACTTTCAAGACACAATCACATTGAACCCAGTTGACATTGTGTGTGCTCTTCGTCCACCACTTCGAAGAATTTCACTTTTACACCTGATCCTTCAGAATGGCCGACAATTGCCACGACCTCTACTCCAGAAGCTATATGATGCAATCGATGATTACAATCACATCAAGCAAAGGGAAGATCAACGACCAAGGTGGGGCATTCACTTGACAGAAGCTCACATACTTGCGATTGCTGATACCCCAACTCCTGCTGATCGTGAACGCACCGACCAAGCCGCTGGCAAATCGAAAGCAGCCCCGAAGGCAGAACCAGCACTGGGACGAGCGTCAAAAGCGAAAGCATCATCGTCAGCAACATGGAGAACAGTTGAAACCGCTCCTCCGCCAAAACAAGCTCCAGTGACCCCGCCAAAGAAGGGTGGAAAAGACCAAGGAAAAGGTGGAAGATCTTATTCACATCGTGGCGGAGACTGGAATCATCAGGGATACTATGGATGGGGATATAGATGATCAAGCGATCTGACCTCTGCATGGGTCCTGATTGAACCTGGCGATGCGAGGATGCAATCAGTGCTCGAGATTTACCTCTACTTCATTTCGAATGATTTCTGAGAGGACTCTGAGCCGGCTAATTTGTAACCACACATTTTTTTTGAACATCATTGCATGAGACGCTGAGTTTCTACAGCGGTCTACATCTCAACCGACGAAGGAACGGGAAGGTAAACTTCTAGTTCCATAGTCATCTTTGTGTTTGATTTTTAATTCACATGCTTGAGTGGGAATCCATGCTGGCTACGCCACATCGGATGAACCTCAACGCTAGACACCGACTACGTCGTGTCTGCGTGCACGTGAACAGATCTTTTATATTTTTTGGTAGAGATCGTAGCAAGCCGCCATGTAGATTGGAAGTTCTGAAACGGACTTTAGCTCTCCTTAATTCGACAAATGAACAGCTGCAGATGTATTGGAACGATTTAAAGGACACTCCTTTGCGCGTGGCCAACGAAGTTGGCCATGCGTGGGGGGTGCGAATAGGATGTAGGCTACGGCACAGTACATAATCCCACAAAGACATCCTACTATCGTCCATAACCAAAGGTGTGCATAAAATGCCCCTTTGGCTCAAGACTACTGCAGATGTCAAGAGCGAGAAACAACGCCATGCCGAAACTGCATTCATCGTGACGTCGTCGTTTTTTTGGACATCAACCCCAAGACAAAGCAACAATACATAATCGGGGAGACAACCTCCGATTCACACATACATACATACATACATACATACATACATACATACATACATACATGTGTAAGGACATGCATTTTTTGCACCTATACCACGCAAGGGTCAAAACATGGGAGCAGCCAGCGGTTTCAGCCATCCTGGAAAGTCTCTGTTCACCTGACCTGATCGTCCAGGTGTGGTGAAAGGCGATCCCCTGCTATTCCTGCCAGCGTGCCTCGTTTGGAGTCGCATTGCGGATGCTTGGGACTTTGCCATGCTCGGCGTGGCCGCATGAGGTACTTGGTGCTCTCTCCTCTTCTCCAATGGACGGTGGGTTCCTACATTTTCCAAGGCCCTAAGGTCGCGACATCTTCAGGACTGGTTTATTGAGATGGGGTAGGTATTGGAGAACCATGCTAGTGGCGAGCCATTGCACATTTTAGGAATGGCTCAATTATATACCCGTTATACCCTCAAACCAGGAGTGGTTCAATACCAAACATGACCAACCTTGCAGAGTTGTTTGGATGGGTGGTGATGGATGCACATGGGAACTTGCTCCAGTGGGCTGGCCCTTCCCTGCAGGGGATGTCGAGAATCCGGCTCCAGCTGCCGACGTCACCGCAGTTGCTTGACATGCTGGCGGCATCTTCAATTGGGTGGAGGTAGTTGAATTTCACCATGGTTACAGCCCAATTTTATCTTGAGATCATGAGCAACCCAAGTTAGGTTCAGATTGGGGTCTTACTTGGCAAAAATCAGTAATAATCAGATGAGTTTCTGGGAGGCACATTTTCAGGACTGTATGTTGCAATGTTGTTGATTTTTTCACTTTTTCTAGGTGAAATCATTCATCATCATCCATGATCCTGGCCGAGCCTCGGCCGCCGAGGTAGCTTCCATCCCTTCAATTCCAGAAGCTTCAATCCCAGAAGCTGATATTCCGCCCATGGACTCAAACTACTCTGCCAAGTCGGTTCCCATTCCGGCTGCTTGGACGTGGCGGCTTGTGGCAGGTGATAAATCTGGAAATATTTGGAGTTAGGAGAAAGGAGGACACATTGGCAAACAGAGGTCGTGAAACCATGACCCTTCTTTTTGTTAACTCCAGTCAAGGCTATACCCCGTTGGAACCGGTAAGTAGCTTAGCTCGTTGTTAAGTTTAAATGTTTCATTACTGCCTTTGCATTTTGCCTTGGGATGATTCAGCCCAAGTGACCAACAGTTGAGATGGCTGATCCACTGGTCTATGGCAGTCTGAAGGCCTCAGAGAGACCACGGTCGCTTCCCAAAACTGCGGTTTCTAATAGAAAGGTCCTGGGACCATGGGTGCCTGGGAGTCCTGTCGTTTTGAGCAAACCTCCAACATCTCCAGCTCGCAAGCTTCACAAACACCTGTGTCAAACACAGGGGGTGCTTAAAGAATCTTGAAGAGGGTTCACATCGTTGCAGTTGTTTGCGCTGCCAGGATGGAATAAATAGATAGAAATGGGACCAGTGTGCAAAAGTGGAGACTTTCGTGTACTTTGACATCGGATTTCCGTCGAGATTGCCATTCTTTACATGCTGTTATATGATGTGTAATTGGTATAATTACAATATATATATCTAAGCTGTGATTACACATTCTCACAGGGGAAATGCATGTTAAGTCACTCATCGTTCTCATGGACCATGTTTGAGGACATGTTTGGCCCAAAAAAATGACTAATGATCAAGCTCCCCCCTGTGAAGTGACATTGCATCGTTCTCTCGCACATTTCAATCAAAGATCGTTCTCACGAGAGCAATCGTTCTCATCACAAATTTCTCTGGTGGAAATTGCAGAACAGTTTTTCACAAAAAAAGTAAGGAGAATGATTTTTGAGAAGAATGGGTAGGGTTGCATTTTAGGGGGGTTAAAAAACAACTTTGCGCATCCTTCTCGAACAATCGTTCTTCTTTAAAACATCGTTCTTCTCAAAAATCAGTGTGCAAACAAGGACAAACAGAAAACCAGCAGTTAGTGTTGAGGAGTTGACAGCTGGGGTCGGAGGATAATGGGGACAATGGGCTGGTGAAACAAAAGTGAACCTCTGCAGTTCCTTTGGGCAAGGTCAGTATCCTGCGAGTAAGACTGTTGAAAGCATCTGACACCATAAGACTTTGGATCTCAACGTCTGATCAAAAAAGCAGAAGTTGAGACAACTTTTCGGAATGGGCAGAGCTGGATTAGAATATATATATATGTGATTATATGTGTGTATGTATATGTATCATTGCCATGTCTTGCATTAAACGATCAACGAATCAACGGATATACTATACTTGATTCATCTTAATTCTAGGGACCACCTTGCGCGGTAAATCACCGTACTTCGTCCCAGCAGGGTCCGGGTCCGCCTGCCGCGCAGGTCACTCGGGCCGCAACCTCCCACGCGGTTTTTCGAGAGGCCTGGGGTTGTTGGGGAAAAAGGGATTATACTACCCAAGGTTCATTAGGATGATAATAATCATCGAAGGAAGTTTAGAAGTCATTGACAGATGGAAAAGCAGAGGTGGGGAGAGTCAGAGAGGAGAAGAGCCGAAGAGAGAAGATCAGAGAAGAGAAAGAGTGAGAAGAAAGAAGATGCAGGTTCGCAAAAGGGTAGGAAAGTCGCGAAATACTGTGTTTTTCCAATGATTTGTGGCTCCGGAGGGTCGAAAAGTAGGCTCGCTAAAGCGGCGGGTGCGGAGCCATGTGGTCAGATGAGAGATGAAAAGTTGCACGCCGTTGTGGCGCGAAGCACATTTCGAAGTCAACATGTACAAAACACACCATTCTCGGACCACTTTTGGAAGTTGTGATGTCGAAAAAGTGCACACTTCGACAAGTCAAAATGTACAAAACACATCAAAACACAGCAGCTCCGGAGCATTTTTGGAAGGTGAGATGTCGAAAAAGTGCAAGCCGTTGTGGTGCGAAGCACATTTCGAAGTCAAAAGTGAAAAAACCCGAGGGGTACGGGGCACTTTTGGACGTTCAGATGTCGTTTCGCGTGGCAGGCGCAGGGGATTGTGCACCTTGTCAAAAGTGAGCAAGAAGGTGAGGTTTTTGCAGCAGTTTCAACTACAACCACCACTACACTACACTACATTACACTACACTACATTACACTACACTACATTACGCTACACTACACTACACTACACCCTGCTACAACTACAACTACAACTACAACTCATTACGCTACCCCAATTACATTACACTACGCTGCACTACAATACACTAGACTCCACTAGACTCCACTACACTATGGTCCACTACACTACATTCAATTACATTACATTACACTACAAGACGCTACACTACACGCACTACACTACACTACGCTACGCTACACTACACTACACTACACTGCACCACACTTCACCACACCACACCACACTACACCACACCACTTTTGAGTCCAATCCAGAGTCTGGGAGCTGGCTGTGTCTTCGCAAGTATGGAATTTGCAGTGCTCTTTTGCGGAGATAGCAGTTGGGTGCCCTTGGTACCTTTCTTGCTTGGCTTTCTGCTGAACTTTATTTTACGCGTTTGCTGAGACACTTCGGAACTTTGGCTCAGCATTTGATATTCTTACAAAGCCTTTTTCATGCCAATTTGCTTCACTTTCAGCAACTTTCATTTTGAGAACTTCTTTTAAAGGGCGATCGAATTCTGAAAGGGCTGACAGTCAGCTGGAAAGGCTGTTTGTTGTCTCAGGAGTCCGTTACTGTAATTTTTGACCTCCTAGATATGGACTTGACAGCCCGAGTCCATTGTGTGAGCTTCTTCAGGATGAGTTTTAGTGGTGACCATCATGTTGAAAACATGCATTGGACAATCCACAAAAACAAGTTTCACATGCTGAGCGTACAAAAAGTCTGGTTTCAACATGACGACTATATAGATGGATCTGATATGATTTGAGATGATCTTAGGGCGACCCCATGCAGCCAATTTGACCAAATTGCTTTGGAAATCCATCTTGACTGACAAGAGAGAGAGAGAGAGAGAGAGAGAGATGCACACACGCACGACACACACACATATATATATTAATTATTTGTAATAATGTATATGATATAATATATCAATCAACAAACACGTAATCGTATACAAATTCATCAATGAGTACGTAAACAAGTCGGTACGCACACACTGTCACACACACATACACACACACTAGACAAGAATGGATCATTATATGATCCGGCAGGAACTGAATCCTGAAACATGCAAACCAGCCTAGATTATTAGATGAATAAAAGAGCCACATGAGGTACTTCTCGCAAACGATGTAGGGCATCCGAAATTGTCAAACGTAGTCATAACCAGATTCCATAGAGTTTTGACCAGCATGTGGAAATCCAAAATAATGTTTCGGCGATTGTTTCCCAAAATAACCCATAGTTCGTCGGCGACAGGATCTCGGCGAAAATAAGTCAAAAAACATAATACTGTCGGCGATATGGTTTCGGCGAAAATCTGAGGAAGGTTCTGATGCATGTAAATTTCAAAATTGATTCCAGATTGCGACAACAGTGCAGCAAATTGTATAATATTGTGGTTGGGGTTCTAAGCTTGGCCCCTTGCTATGTCCGAAAAAAAAGCAGGTACGTGCAGTTGATCAGACTGCATATCCTCTCCAAACATCAGTAGCTTCGTTGGCCACGGACTGATGAATGGAGCCGTGGCCCCCTGCAAATTAGTGAAAACCAATCAGAAGTTTTACATCTGTTCAGATGGTACACACACACACACCTCGCATGTAGCGAGGTCGGTTTTTTGGAAGAACTTCGCTGGCGGAATCGGCAAGACACCAGTGAAAGTGAACCTGTAATAACCTAATGTACAAAAGGGCGGTCACTTCAGTCAGAAGAGGAATTCGGAGCTTGTAGAAGGACTTCCATAGCATCGTGGAAGCTCATGCGTTCAACCATCGCCCAAGTCTGATCGAATTCCCCCGATGCCGTAGCAGCCTTCAAGGTGTCAGATAGATCTTTGGCTAATTCATGGATCCGGGTGGTCAGCCTTGGTTCATCTCCAGGAGATGTCGTCTCAATGGGCACATTGTGAAAAGGATGGTGTCCATGTACAAGGGGAATCTCAAAATGATGTCGCCAATAGTCCGCTGTGCGCAGGGACCACTCCCAGTTGCCGGAGAGACCATAGAAATAGTGTTCAGGGTCACGACATCGGGAATGCCCTAACAAAGGAATTTCTTCAATGAATAGCTCCCTGGTGTTGTTGGAGTGGGTAATGACCTTGAATTGGATCTGGTGAACCACGCGAGAAGAGAACTGAGCACGATGGAAGTAGTTGTGTGTAGAACTTGAGTCTGTCGGAAATGGAACGCCAGGAGGTGCTGGTCCTGAATATGTATCAGAATGGGCCAGTGTACCCGTAGCAGGTGCCGTACTGTCAGTTACCAAAGGTGCCGGAGTAGGGTTGGTCGTAGTGTCGGGAGCTCCTGAGTGACATAGTGCAGAAGTCGAGGCGTCTGGTACTTGAACTGGGTCGGTAGGAGCGAGTCCACGAGTAGAGTTCGCAGGCCAAGACAAGCCCGCCACGGTCGCGTCTCGTTTGTGTTCCATGGGTGAAACTGTCACAAATACGAGAAATAGTGCAACAACGGCTGAAGCATCAAGAATTGCAGAAGAAAGCCAATCCCGAAATTGATAATATTCACAAAAATGAAAAAAGTGAAATCCAGTCCTCAATCAAGTGGGTCAGTTGCGACGGAGAAGCCACAGCTCCAAGTCAAATAAAATAGAAATCGAAAAATCCTTTGTGTTAGTGGGGTGTCAAGGAGGAATTGAAAACCCTGTAGCATGGTCTTTTTTTGGCCGGCTAGTGCATCAGGGCAGGATCACACCGGAGCTAATTTTGTAGCATTTCAAGCGTAGTACGAAAGGCTGTCTGGTACCCGGGATGAGGAAAGAGGATTCGCGGGAATTGTACTGCCGAAGTCGCCACTCAGGTCGGTATGCCTCCAAAAGCTGCAAGACCGTCATATCATTGGAAACTTGGAATGTATCACCGTCCAAGTCGCAAAAGCGAAACTCCAGGTTCGAGGGATCAATTCGGATGTCCCATTGGGACCTCAATCTTTTGGAGATACAAAAGCGGAGTTCGGCAATTGGGATGAGGCCGGCTTCAACTGGTTCCATCTGACGTGACCAGGTAAACAAAGCTGCAAGTTCAAAGCCACTGACATGTCTAAAATTGGAGTTCACCAGAGCCATGTAGTGTTCACGGTCAGGTTCGCTTCGGTGAGTCAATGCCTGTAAGGGAGAGAAGTCAACCAAGATAAGGACAGGTCTGTTTGGAGGAGGGTTCACATCACCAGGGAGGCCTCGATGTCCAGCAATCCACCCAACGGTTCGTGTACCAAGCGGTGTCTCAATCGTAGATGTGGCGCGATATGGATTGGGTCGAGAAGAACGAGCCATTGCGTCGAATGTGAAGTATCGAGGATAAAGCGCAAAGCCCAAGCTGCAAAATGGGTTGGAATAGCCACAGGAACAAGCACAAAGTGTTAGAAATAAAAGAGAAACGGTGTACCTAGTAAATGGTCACACAAAGAGACGATGAATCACAGGTCTTTTTTCCGCCGACAAAGAATGTGGTATATTACACACTTGAATCCGACATATCCATCGGGTCAATATCGTTCGCATCCAACGGACCATGTACTTGTTGAGGAGGGACAGCGGGGCGAGTGAGATATACAGTACGGTGTAGTGTTGCCGGTGGGGAAGACGGTGGTGTAGACCGCCAAGGTGGCCAATATAAAGAGGTAGTGGTTCCTTGAGAATGGTGTTGGGCGGAGCGTCCCCAGCATGACTGTAAAATATGGAGGTGGTCCGGTATCGCTTCGTACGGCTGTGAGACATGGACGTTGGAGTGTTCAGGGTGTGGTAAAACGGGAACAGTGGTTGCCGTAGGGGAGGAGGATGATGGTTGAATTGGTACATCATAGTATCTGCGCCAATGGTTAGCTGTAGTGCGCAAGGTTGCCTGGTCGTTGGTGAGGTGCATGTTCTCCAGGAATGTTTCCACTGGTTTCCACGTTTCAAGACCATCAAGTGTCCTTTCCACGATCCAAAGTTCATCTGAACGGTTAGACAAAGGATAGCTCAGCTTCTTGATGAAGACGGAGTGGACAGTGGTAGAGGTCGGAATCATTCTCGCTGCACGAGGAATATAGGATGCCGAGGTGGGATCATCCGGTGGCAAGTGTGAGGCAAGGCCATGTATGGATGTAGGTGGTAAACCGTGCGAGACCAATCGAGCAGGATCATCCGTGTTGGAGGTCATCATGTACGATCAAAAGAATATGATAGCGGGAAATACTAAACTGAAGCCAAAAGGCCGTGGGGAAGGTCAATGATGAAGGAATAAATAACGAATATCACCCACTGG